TCCTGGAAACAGCCTCTCTATCCTTCGGGGTAGGGGTAAGGTCTGCGTACATATTATCCTCCCTAGACCTCACTTGTGAGATTATACTGGATCGTTGTTGTCGTTGTTGTTGTTGACCACGAGACCGTACCATTGGGTGCACCGATATTTACAGTTAGTTTGGCATATAGTAGATGTGTTTTCTAAACAATAAATGTGAATTGAGTTTTATTAATCTCCTTCAATTCACTATTCCCCTTACATCATATAGTAGATTTTTTTTTTTTTGTAATCTAGAATTAAAATAATAACAGCGTCGAAAGCAAATGAAAACACGGTTACTCTTCAGGACGGTATGAGATTAAAATATAAACTAACAAAATTACTTAAAAGAAAGTGATTGGTAATTCTATGTAATAAACATTAATTAATAACGTAAAATTAATAAATAACATGTTATAACAAATTAAGCTACGTTATATTGATGATATCAATTCTTTTTACAGTACACATAATTTAAATTCCTATTTGTAAACCTCGTTGCCATCTCATTTCTCAAGTTTCATCTAGGTCTTGACAATCTTGACCGTTCACTGAATACAGAGTAGAAAAACTCTCAAGATAATTATAAGATTTTTTACTCAGCATTGAAAACTCAATCTTGCTTCTTCTGTTAATGGTATGGAATCTAGCTCTTTAAATAATTCTAAAATGTACAGTTCTCTTTTTTTGGTTCATGAGGCGAAATATACAAATACTATAACCAGTTATCATATCTGTCAATGTCCTGTCTCTGTTCTTCATTTTTGCTCTGCTCCGATCCGAACCCGGACGACTCGGTGGTAAAAATTCTTCACCTACTGGCCATCTCGATCCCATGTTGTAACCAAAAAATATTTTGCACTGTAAGTGTAGTTTAACCGATCGAAGGAGAGCCTTGGCGTAACTCTAGTAAAGTTGCTACCATGTGACTAGAAGGTCCCGGATTCAAGCTGTGGAGACAGTTCTTGTAGAAATGCAGGGTAAGACTGCGTAAAAAAGACCATTTATGGTCCGATCCTTCTCCGAACCCTGCGTGTAGCGGTAATGCACAGAGCTACCCAATTTAGCGTAGTTTAACAAATTGTGACGGACTTATTACATGTGCCATGCAAGAGGGGTCTAGAGTCAGACCAAATGTCAAAGTTGCTTCTGATTCCTACTTGACAGTACCTCTGAAAGTCTTCAAACCTTATGAACATAGACATGTTTTTTTTGTTGCTGTTCTTGGAATCAGTACGGGCCAAATAACATAGTAACTCCTCGAACAATGTCTCGTCGCAAGGAATAGCTAAGGGGCCAGAATTGTTGAAACCGTACTCTTCTTCAGCTTGAGATAGGAGTTTCTTGAACACAGGGTGGTTCAAGTAGGTGGTACGTACAACATATCTTTTGCAGTTGGTTCCTACGGTGACTGCCACGTGTCCGGCAGGCACATCGGACGGGACATGGCGGATGAACATAGTTGCCTTCTTCCTAGTCCACCGCCGTAGAATTTGGCATAGCTTAACAATGTGGCAGATTTTTCTGCAGCCCGACATTTTCTACAGAAAAAATTATGTCTTTTTTTTGTTTTGTTGCGGTTGATGTTTTTCAGTTCTCTAATGTGTGGAAGTGTTGAGCGAAAAAGTGGAGGGTAGGTGCGGGTATATATAAGAATATGAGCGTGTAAGTAACCTTAGTTTTGAAGGAATTCACAACTACTGCCACGCTAATAAGGTTCAATACTTGTGCAGAGATTCTGTAAACATTAAACAATAGATGGAAATTATCTATTACTATAACCAATTACAATTTTGCTTTAAAAAGGATGATTTGTATATTTTATTTGCCGATTTCATGTATTATATTTTATCCATCTCCTATTAAAAGTATATATCATATAGATAAAAGATTATATATTATAGGTTATAAAGTCATCCCTATAAATTATACATGCTGAAATAATAGTAGTGGACGTTTGGACGTACTCTATCTGATCTACAATAAGTGATTAATTTGCTTTTGGCACGCCTAGAAAATACTAAATTCTAGACAAAAATAAATTTTTTTTTATAATAGTAGACGATATATTATGAAATCTTAGGCAGTGTTTACATTGTTACGGATACTAGCTCCACACATAGGTGGATTGTCTTGTTCAACACATTGATTTCCTAAGGATCTTAGTCTATTACATGCATCGATAGATATAGTTTTAACAAAAAGATCAGCTCCATTTTCTTCCATGGTTGACAGCTTGAAATAAAAAGCAGGTGGTGTAGCATGGATCTTTGGACATTGTGCATGTAGTTGTCTATAGCTTTCTGTTGTGGCGTCTTTAGCTAGGGTGTGCGCCACTTGGTTTCCTTCTCTGAAGTTATGCCGTAGGAGGAGGTCCTTCCGGTGGCGCATTAATGACCTGCATGCAGAGATAATGTTAGCAAACACTAGGTGATCTTGGTGTAAGGCTTTTATTGCCTCCGTTGAGTTAGTCTCTACTTCAAGTGGAAAGAGGTTGCATGTGGTTGCTATTCGCAGTCCTTCGTGTATTGCCTGAATCTCTGTTTGAAGAGCTGAGAATGCTCTGGTCTCCTTTTGAAATTCAAGAATCCATTTGCCTGTGTGGTTTCTGATCACCCCTCCAATGCCTGCTTTGCGTGTACTATCTTTGTAAGCACCATCTGTATTTAATTTGTACCAGTTTTTCTGAGGCTTGTGCCAGCTTATGTTGACATTTTTTTTCCTTGGATTGGCCCTCCCTTGGTGTTTAGTAGGATGTATTCAGAGGCTGAATTTATCAAGGTATTTAGATTTGGACTGAAGTTAGTGTTGTTGATATTATTCTTGTTCCTGTTGATCCAGATTCCCCCGATAATGAAGGGAAGTAGAGCTTGCCATGTCAAGGGAGGAGAGTGGTGTACATAGTTAATATTTCTTAGACTGTTTAGCCAGTGGTCGTGGCTAATGATTTGTAGTGTTTATGTTTAAGGAAATCCAGATGTGCTTTACTTTAGGGCAAAGAAAGAAGATGTGGGTTGGGTCTTCCTCATTTGTTCTGCATAAAAGACATTGAGGGTCGATATTAATGCCTATTTGCTTGAGGTATTGACAACTAGGAATTCTATTGTGCAGGCATAGCCATAAGAAATATTTGATTTTGTTTGGTCAGTGTAATTTCCATACCCAGCTGAACTCAATTGTAGGATTGTTATTATTGCCTTTGAGTAATTGATAGACACTGTTGGTAGTGAAAAGGCCATTATTACTGAGGTTCCATAGTGGTTTGTCATGGTTATTGTCGTTTAGTGGTTGAGGGATACTATTAATGTTTTTTACCACTTGGAGAGGGATTTGCATGGAAATTTTGGATAGAGACCACTTGTTATTGTGGTAGATATGTTTTATTTGGATTTTGTTTTCATGCTCTTGTAGGGGACCCTCAATGCAAAGTCTAAGAGGAGGGGAATTTGGAATTCAGCAGGAGTCCTAAATATTAAGCGTGGATTTTTTTCTAGGTTGCCATCGGATGGCTTTTGAGCAGATGTTCCAACCTTTCAGGATGCTTTTCCAAATGAATGAATAATTTTTTGTTTTAATGGAAGAGTATTTATTAATAAGGAGGCTAGCCCAGGGCGTTGTTGGATTAGAGATGATACACCAAATTATACCACTAACCAAAGTCGTGTTTTTAGAGTTGGCATTGTACAGACCAAGACCTCTAGATTCCTTAGGGCTAGTAATAGTTTTCCAATTAACGAGGTGGATTTTCTTCTTTTCATTGGTGGAACCCCAAATGAAATTCCTTTGAATTTGGTCAATTTTTTTTTTGTATTGTTGAAGGCATAATGGTGTATTGCATCACGTGGTTTGGAAGGTTGTTTAGGGAGGATTGGGCTAATGTGGTACGACCCGCAATATTGAGGAATTTAGATTGCCAAGTGGCAAGTTTGTTATGCATATTATCTAAAATAAACTGGAAATCTTTTGTTTTTGGGTGTCTTTCGAGTATTGGAAATCCAAGATATTTGCCAAAAGATTGGCTAATCTTGATGTTAAAGCCGTTGGCAATGTTTTTAGAAAGCTTTTTTGGACAGCTTTTTGAAAAAAGAATTTTTGATTTTTGTAGGTTGATTTTTTGCCCAGATAGTTCACAGAAGGATTTTAGACAGTGATTTATTGTAGTATAATTCTTAGTGTCTGCTCGAGCCATTAGAGTTAGGTCGTCTGCAAAAAAAAAAAGGGATATGCCCATGTCTTTGTTTGATAAGTGGATGAGATTCCATAAACAAGTGTCCACTCGGTTGAGGATAGTTATGAACAACATTTGTATGCATAATATAAAAATGTAGGGGGATAGGGGGCAGCCTTGTCTAATGCCCCTACTGGGACTAAAGAAGTTTGTCGTCATTCCATTAACAAGGATTGCAATATGGCTGGAGCAGATACAGTTCATTATGAGCCTTTTTGTCTTCGGGGGAAAATTGAAGTATGAAAGGGTTCGATAAATGAACGACCATTCAAGTCTATCGAAGGTTTTTTCAAGATCTAATTTGAGGATCATGTTTGCCTTTTTCCCTTTCATTTTTTTAAATTGGTTATAGATTTCTTGTATGATAATAGCGTTATCACAAGCTCTTCTACCGTTTATAAAGCTAGCTTGGAATGGGCTAATCAAATTCTGGATGTAAGTTTGAATCCTGTTTGCTATTATCTTTGTAATAGTTTTGTAACAGAGGCCTATTGGTCTAAAAATTTTCAGATTATTTGCATTGGGTATTTTTGGTATAAGGCATAAGTAAGTGTTATTGATCCCTTGGGGGAGGGTTTGGGTTTTAAAAACGTTTTGGCACAGATTAATTACTGAGTGACCTATTATATTCCAGTATTTGTGGTAGAAAAAAGGGTGGAAACCATCGGGGCCTGGGGATTTGAAAGGTTTCATTGAGAAAATGGCATTTGTCACCTCTGAAGGGTGTAATTATTTGTCTAATGTTGAGAGGTCTATCTTTTTGAAATTTTGGGTGTCTCTTTTGATGTTAGACCAGCCTGCCATGCTGTGATTAGTTGTGAACAAGTTTTTGAAGTAGTTGGTGGTGTGAAGAAGAACTTCATTAGGGTCGTTTATCCAATTGCCACAATTGTCCTTAAAAAAGTAATTTTATTTCTGCATTGCCTATTGGTAGCCATGATGTGGAAAAATCTAGTGTTTGCATCACCATCCTGAATCCAAGAAATTCTAGCTCTTAATTTCCAGTAGTCATCCTCAATCCTTAAGATGTTTTTGTAGTCTATTTGGAGATTGATTTCTAGTTCCTTAAGGAATTTTCTAGTAATGTAGTTTGCAGAGTTTTGAATTCCTCTAAGTCTAGCTAGAATATTCTTTTTCTTTTTGTAGGTATCACCAAAATTTAAGAACTTCCATTCTTTGATGTTGTCACGGAATTTGGAGGAGGCTAGGGTATAACTAGTGTTGTTCCAATTATCCTTGACAAGATTAATGAATAGAGGGTGTCTGCACCAATACGTTTCCAGTCTAAAAGGTTTATTAGTATTACAATAATTCTTAGGCATGATTTCTACTAGGAAAGGGTTATGGTCGGAGTGAGTTTTGGGGAGATGAGTGACAGTTGCCCTAGGGAATAAGCTGATTCATTCCTCATTTGCAAATACTTTATCGAGTCTTTCCATAACTAAGCCTTTGTTCATGTTCCTATGATTGGACCTTGTAAACTTATATCCTTTAAAACCAAGGTCTATAAGGTTGCATTTATTGATGCAATTCCACAAAGTCTTGGCCCGTTTAGTGTTGATAGGTCTACCTCCTATTTTCTCATTATGGCTTAGAATATCATTAAAGTCACCTCCTATGAGCCATGGCCCTTTGTAGGAAGTATGGTGATCGATGATGTTTTCCCACATTTTATTCCTAAGATTTATGTCAGTGCTAGCATAAATGGAAGTAAATAGCCAAGTTTTTTGAGTCGAGATGACCTCAATGGTGGCACTGATCTCTTGGCTCCTACGGACGAAACTGTGCACATTGACGATTGTATGGTTCCATAGAATTACCATACCTCTTGACTGCCCATCCGCCAGAATTTCTATCATATCAAAGAAGCCAAAGGGGTTGAGAAGGGAGACATGACTATCCATTCTGGTCTCCAAAAGTGCAACCATACTGGGGTGATGAGTATTGACTAACTCTATGAAATTAAGCCTAAAAGCTTCGTTGTTTCCTCCACGAATATTCTATATTATAAAGGTTGTGGCCCTATTCATGTTCAGATTTTGATTGTGTATATCCCTATTCTTCCTCATTGGTGCTAAGTTTGGATTCCTCCTTTTATATGGCACCAGTATCATCGCATGCTGACCCACAGTTGGGTCTGCAGGGGGCCTTATATCCATTGTGCACTTGTAGAGTGCCATTGGATAGTAGAGTATTTGCCTCTGTTCTTGCATCTCCGTGAATTGAAAGATCTTTATTTCGTCTAGGTTTGAATCTTCCACTAGGTTTTCTGGTATTAAGTTGACTGGAACCACTTCTTCCTCCATGTGTTGATCCATTTGAGGAGGGTTTGTGTTTGCGGGTTGCTGTAGAGGACCC